CCCCCCAGCAGACCAGGGACATGGGGAGCAAAGCCGCAGCGGCGGGGTGCCTCGCCTCTGAGGCTTTGCTCTGGCGCGGGACCCGCCGCCGCTGCGGCTTTGCTCCCGATGCCCCTGGTCTGCTGGAGACGGTCCCCAGCAGACCAGGGGCACCAGGAGCAGCTTTTCTCGCCCCGGAGGTCAAGGTGGCTAACCGCTGCCTGCGAGCTCCAGGGCGAGAAAGCCCCGTTCGTAAGTGCGGATCCGACATAAGTCGGATCCGCGTAAGTCGGGGACTGCCTGTATACCCTAGCGACCAAATGGAAAGGATGAGATTTTTCCACCCTGGCATGAAGAATACAGCCGCTCCCTGAGTTACGAACAAGTTACGGACCAACACTTGCTCCGTAACTCGAAGTGTTTGTAACTTGGATCCCATAGATCAGTGGTCCCCAACCTTTTGGGGCTGTCAAGCACCTGGGGGTGGTGCCTCTCACAGGCCGGGCACCCGGGTACGGGGCCACGCACACGCCTGAGGGCAGAGCCACCTATACGCTGCATGCCCGGTGCCAGTGCCACCAATGGGCCGCACCCCCGGGGCTGGCGCTGCTCCTGTGCCACATGCCCAGGGGTGGAGCTGCCCATATGCCATGCGCCCGGGGCTGGCGCTGCTCCTGTGCTGCGCGCCCAGGGGCGGGGCTGCCCATACGCCGCGCACCTGGGGCCGGAACAGCCCATGCGCTGCATGCCCGTGGCTGGTGCTGCTCCTGTGCTATGCACCCAGGAGCCAGCAGTGCCCAGGCACTGCGCGCCTGGGGCCAGCGCTGCTCCTGTGCTGTGTGCCCAGGGGCCAGCACAGCCCATTCACTGCACGCCCAGGGCCCAGCACAGCCCATGCACTGCGTGCCTGGGGCCAGCGCTGCTCCTGTGCTGTGTGCCCAGGGGCCAGCACAGCCCATTCACTGCACGCCCGGGGCCAGCACAGCCCATGCCCTGCGTGCCTGGGCCCAGGACTGTCTCTGTGCTGCATGCCCAGGTGCGGGGCTGGCCCCGATCACTCGGCGGGCACACAGAAATGGCCCGCGGGCACTGCGTTGGGGATCACTGCCATAGAGTTACATGGCAACCGCGCTGTTTGTAAGCACGGATTGCCGTTCGTAACTCAGATCCGCATTTACAACCGCATTGGTCATAAATGCGGATGGTCGTAAGTGGAGGTGGTCGTAACTCAGGGAGCAGCTGTATATTAAACCTGGCTTCGGTGTGGGAGAGGCTCAGTGTGAGTGCAGGTATGACGCTGCCTAGGCTTAAATACCCTGTCTAGGCTTAGGCAAGACATACCCACCGCCTTAGAATCCAGCAGATTCCCTGGAACCGATTCATGTTCCCATGTTAGCCCTTCCTCCGGCCGCTCTACCGCAGCCATGGTATGAACGTTCTCCGACGCAGAGTCCATCCTCCAGCGAAAGGGCGCTGCTGGGCCTGGCTGTCAGTTTCCAACCAGGCTTCGTTGACTTCCTGCTCCTCCAGCAGCTCCTAGCACAAACCTGGCGTAGGACGATAAAACAGCCCAGTGGATTCACTAGGCCCTTCTGAAAAGTCTGAGGTGGGAAACACGGGGAGGCCCCAATTCACCCTGTAAATCAGTGCACTTACACCAGCGGAAGGGGTTCCTGCAGCCCCGTGGGTATGTGGGAGAAATCGTATAAGGGTGGATTTGTTGTTGTTTTGTAATAGGCTACTCAGGTGAGCTTTAAAACTTGAGGGGGTTTTCCTATGTGAAATATAGTGCAGGTTGTACCTCCCTGAATTGGGATGCTGGTTGGAGATGTTCCTGGACCAGAGAGCTCAGAGCTAGGGAAGTTGGTGGCAGGACCAGGAGCCCTAGGGTAGGGAGGCTAGTGGCAGGCGCTGTGAGCCCAGGGGCAGGGGGCTCAGGCGACATGGGCAGCCTCGTGGCAGTGGGGTCTGACAGTGCCGCCTGGACCCCTGCGGTAGGAAAGCCAGAGAGGGTTGGTTGCACAGCCAGCTGCAGGAAGGGGGGCTGGAAGCGAAGCCATCAGTGGGGCAGGAGGCAGTGGCAGGGAACCTCCCCCAGCCTGGCAAATTCCCTTGTTCGGGACTGGTTAGATTCTGTGGGGAGGGATATCTCAGTGGTTTGAGCATTGGCCTGCTAAATCCGGGGTTGTGAGTTCAATCCCTGAGGAGGCCTTTTAGGGATCTGTGGCAAAATCTCTCAAGGATGGTACTTGGTCCTGCTGTGAAGGCAGGGGACTGGATGCAATGACCTTTCAAGGTCCCTTTTAGTTCTAGGAGATAGGTATCTCCATTCATTTCATTTAGGAAGGTCCAACCTGTAGTTAATTTACTTCAGGACACTGAAGAGAACCCTGCTGCACAGAGCCCTCGCTTCCAGGCACTGGACAGTGTGAGCTCCGTTGCTGTCCAGTCTCCCTGAGCTCAGGTGGGTTTTTTCCAGACTAGAGCTGAGCGTAGCAGTGAAATCCGGCCCGCTGGCTAGAGACAGTGTGGGGCAGACCACACGCGGTGAGTGGCGAGAAGGGGAGGCGCATGCGGGCGATGGGCAGGTCTGGAAAGCGATGCGCCAGAACGCGCGTTGGGGAACTGCTGCGCTAGCTTCGTCCACAATCGTTCAGTGAGCCTGGCACGAGGCTGAGCTGAACGTGCCACGAGTTCCCCTCCTGCAGAAAGAGGCTTCGTGCCATTTGTCCCCCGGCGTGACAATCTAGCGCTCGGTGTCTCCCACAGACTGGCTCTGTGCGCAAGGATGTCCTTGAACTTTGCGGGCTGAGGAGAGCCGGAGGCAAGAGGCACTTTACAACAGCCTCTCAAATACACCCAGACTGGCCGTTCCAGAGTGACAGCATTTTAGGGTGGGGGTGCGTGTGAGGGTGACGGACAAGGAGCCGCAGGGAACAGGGTGTTGTAGATGTGACTTGGGTAAGATGGTTTGGGTCTGGGTCAGCCCTCCCTTTGAATGCTCTATTTAGGCTTTGAACCTTTTGGTGTAAGGTCTAAAAATCACTAGCAGTGGTGACTGGCGTTGTGGTGTCCAGCTGGCCTGATCTGTGAGCGCTAGGGAGCTTTGCCCTTCATGGCTGCGTATGCTGGAGGACTCAGAATAATACCTAGCACCTCTCCCCTGCCGGAGCCTGATCCAAAGCCGACAGAGTCCAATTTGCTTTGGAACGCAACCACTCCAATGCAATCATTAACTAACAAACCCACCCACAACAGAGAGTGGTAAGCGTGATCCCTGATTTTAAAGACACACGGTGAGGTTACGGGCTCTAGGCCTGACCTCCGAGCAACTCCTTGCTCCCAGCCCTGTGGTCCGTCTGCTTCCCCATACTACTTCCGCAAGGTGCTTTGGACTCCGTGTGAAATGTCCCATGCTAGCTTCAGCAGGGTGACGTGCCTTCACACATGCCAATTGCTACTCTAAACCCTTTAAAAAGTTTTCTCTCCCAGGACTGCCAGGCAAGTTTGGCGATGACTCACCACAATGTTTATGGTGCTGACTCGCCAGTGGAGACAAAACTCCTGCCATAAACTGCAGCCTCCCTTCTCCTCTGCCCTCCCAGCAGAATAGTAATCTGAAGAAAGCGTGGTTCAGAGAGTTAAGCTTCCAAAGGATCTCCCAAAACTAGGTGACTGGGCAACAAAAAGGCAAACGAATTTTAATGTTGATAAATGCAAAGTATGGAAAACATAACGCCAACTAAACATACAAAACGATGGGGACTAAATCCTCTATTCTCGTTCAAGAGAGAGATCTTGGAGTCATTGTGGATAGTTCTCTGAAAACATCCACTCCACGTGCAGCGGCAGTCGGAAAAGCCAACAGAATGTTAGGAATCATTTAAAAAGGGATAGAGAATAAAATAAAAAATATCTTATTGCCTCTGTATAAATCCATAGGACACCCACATCTTGAATACTGCATGCCAATGTGGTCGCCTCCTCTCAAAAAAAGATATATTGGCATTGGGAAAGGTTCAGAAAAAGGCAACAAAAATGATGAGGGGTTTGAAATGGCTTCTATAGGAGAGATTAAAAAGATTGGGGCTTTTCAGCTTAGAAAAGAGGAGACTAAGAGGGATATGATAGAGATTTATAAAATCATGACTGGTATGGAGAAAGTGAGTAAGGAAAAGTTATTTATTTGTTCCCATAACACAAGAACTAGGGGTCACTCAATGAAATCAATAGGTACCAGGTTTAAAACACAAGGAAGTTTTTCTTCATGCAGCGCACAGTCAACCTGTGGAACTCCTTGCCAGAGGATGTTGTGACGACTAGGATGTTAACATGGTTCATAAAAGTACTAGATTGATTCATGGAGGTTAGGTCCATCAATGGCTGTCACCAGGATGGGTAGGGATGGTGTCCACCGCCTCTGTTTGTCAGAGGCTGGAAATGGGTGACAGGAGAGATCACTTGGTGATTCCCTGTACTGTTCATTCCCTTTGGGGCACCTGGCATTGGCCACTGTCGGCAAGCAGGATACTGAGTGACATGGTCCTTTGGTCTGACCTGGTCTGGCTGTTCTCACGGTTTTATTCTCTGTCGGTGAAGGAGTGACTCCTCCCTATGGTTTGAGTTGCCAGGGCCTCTATGCCAATCTACTTTGGGCCAGCCGGGAACTTTCTCCCTCAGATAGGGGTGGGGGAAAGGAGTCTCTCAAATGTTGCTGCATGCCAATAAACCTCGCAAATTTGGCTGCAGGTGTTCTGTTTTAGAAAAGCCGGAATTGTTGCCAGCTGCATAAATACCCCTGTTAAAGCGCCCCTAAGCGCCGAGGCCAAGAAAGTGCCGTGTAGCGTTCGGATGCTGAGACAGTTGGGTTAATCCCACTTGAATATGTTGCACCAGCCTGAAAGGCTTGGCGAGTGCTGCGAAAGCTTAGCGGGTTTGTTTTTGAAAGGGATGTGACTTGCCAAGTTGACGCAGCAAGTTCAAGGCCTCTGATTCATGCACCTTGTTTTCTTTCGGCTGCGGGGGGGAAAGTGCTGCGTTGGCGTATTCCACTGAGTGGGCGAAGCAGCAGCAGCAGCAGCAACCGTGGCCATGGCGCTACTCCTGGGGGCGCTGCTGGTGTCTCTCGGGGTGTCCGTTACTGCCAATCCCCTTTTGGAAGCTCAGCTGTCCCCACGCGATGTGGCTCGGGCTGCGGTCGAGGCCCACAACCAGGAAACGGGAACGCAGGCAGTGTTCCGACTGCTGAAGCTGAAAAGCTTCCACAAAACAGTAAGAACACGTTGGTTTTGGTTTCTCCTTCTCTCCATAGACTTTAGCCCACCGTGTGGGGGAGGGGGCTTTTAAAGTTTTCTTTTAGCAGGAAGAACAACAGACCAGAGGCAGGAAAGTAAGTGCTGATGGTACAGTGGGTGCTTTCGAGGACAGCCTATTAAATCAAACGCTCTATGAACCCAGATTTCCTGTGGAATTCTCCCCATGGGAGTTCACCCGGTTTAACATAAGGCGTGAATGTAAACCACTACGCTAATGAAAGGTGTGAATCGAAACCCATCCAACTAGGCCAGTCTGTGGAGGGGACACGTTGTTTCAGTGCTGCTCTACGTAGGCTGAAAATGGATTGAATGAAAATAAAAAGGAGTTCGCATCGCGTTCGCCAGATGGGCTTCAAACCTCGTTTGAAATGGGTCCGGCGTTCCTAGGCGGACAAGACTTGAGTAACTGCTCTGGTGCTAGCAAACGAGCCTCCGCCTTCTTCTCTACCCCCCTGGGGGCTTGCACAACGCTGGACAAACACCTGCAGGGCAGCTCTGCTGGGAAGTGGGGCTGTGCAGAGCGCTCTGCAGGACTCTGCGCGCCGGATCCCGTGTGCTGCACACACACGGCCTGTAGAGCCCTGTGTTCTTACTGCAAGCAGCCTCCTGGTGTTCGGGATGGAATTTTTTTTTGGACGGGGACCCCAAAACAGCTGCTCTGGGGCGAAGGAGCCTAGAGAATGCCAAAGATTCTAGGTCAATGGATGTGGGTTGAGTTTAATTCTGGGGTGGGGGAGTGTGTTATGCATGGAGTGAGAGGGAGAGAAAAAGCAGCAGAGAGCAAGCAACAGCTCCTCCCCCTGCCTGGAACTGGGTGAGGGGGGTCTGGATGTAGCTGGGTGGTTGAAAGGCCAGCAGCAGCTAGCGCCAGAAAAGAAGGGGTGCAGTCGGTGGGGAGGCAGCTGTTGGAAAAAGGAAGAAAACGACGGTAAAGCAGAACAGCCAGCGAGCGTATTGGGGGAGAGAAGATGAAGTGAGAGGAACAGCGAAACTACCAGCGAGCTAAGGGACATAGTTTGGGGAAGAAGCCGACCAGGGCATGGAGGAACACACATGTATTCAAGCTGGAACTTAAAGCTGCAAGTAAAGTTTGCACAAGAGGATTGCTCAAGATACAGTATCACGAAGCTTCCCTCCGCCCCCAAACTCAGGGCTTACAGAGACGGGAAACTGAGGAAGCCACATAGAACAGCTGGGGGAAGGGGTCTATGTTCCAGTGCATTGTCTTTGAATCCGAAAAGTTGGGTTGAATTCATACAGGCAGCTCTTAGCCGTGTGACCCCTGCAAGGCGAGCAGGGGTAAAGAGCGAGGAAGGAGAACGCCGGTCACAGCAGCTGTGGTTCTGACTGTGGCAGGCCGGGAGCAGTCATCACACAGACCAGCGGTTTTCAAACTTTTTTTTTTCCCTCCTGAGCCCGTTGAAGAAAATTGTTGCCGCGATCCAATATAATTTGACTGGAGTGTGGGTTCCAGGGTGCGGCTGAGGAGGGGGGTTTTGGGGTGCAGGTGGGGGCTCCAGCTGGGGGGGAGGTCAGGACTGGGGCAGGAGGGGCTTACCTCGAGTGGCTCCCCCTCAGCGGTGCAGCAGGGGGAGGCTAAGGCAGCTGCCCGCTTCTCCTGGCCCTGCAGACTAGGCTGCGCCCCAGAAGCAGCCGCAACAGGTTCCCACCATCAAGGAGTTGGGCCTGCTGCCGTCCACTTCTGGGGCACAGTGCAGTTGGCGGTGCCAGGACAGGCAGGGAGCTGCCTTAGCCCCTCTGCTGCTCCCCCTGCAGCACTGACAAAGACGCTTTTCGGTGCAGACTCCTGACTCCTGTCTATACCATCCCTGAACATGAGAACAGCCAGACGGGTCAGACCAAAGATCCATCTAGCCCAGTGTGCTGGCTGCTAACCGTGGCCCATGCCAGGTGCCCGTTGGCGGTGCCAGGACAGGCAGGGAGCTGCCTTAGCCCCTCTGCTGCTCCCCCTGCAGCACTGACAAAGACGCTTTTCGGTGCAGACTCCTGACTCCTGTCTATACCATCCCTGAACATGAGAACAGCCAGACGGGTCAGACCAAAGATCCATCTAGCCCAGTGTGCTGGCTGCTAACCGTGGCCCATGCCAGGTGCCCCAGAGGGAGTGAACAAAACAGGGAACCATCAAGAGATCCCTCCCCTGTTGCTCCTTCCCAGCCCCTGACAAACAGAGGCTAAGGACACCTCCCC